AATTGGGAGTGAAACCTGTCGCCTTAAAATGATTAAATAAATTAACTAGTGCATAATTGAATATTAAAAATTAAGTCAACTTAGGTTTCAGGCGAAGCAGTGACGTACTGTAGTAGGTAGTGCTGTCGCCTCACAGCAAGAAGGTCGCTAGTTCGAGCCTTGGCTCAGTTGGCGTTTCTGTGTGGAGTTTGCATGTTCTCCCTGCGTTCACGTGGGTTTCCTTCAGGTGCTCCGGTTTCCCCCACAGTCCAAAGACATGCAGTACAAGTGAATTGGGTAGGCTAAATTGTCCCTATGAGTGTGTGTGTGTGTGTGTGTGAATGTTTGTGTGGATGTTTCCCAGAGATGGGTTGTGGCTGGAAGGGCATCCGCTGCGTAAAAACTTGCTGGATAAGTTGGCGATTCATTCCGCGGTGGTGACCCCGGATTAATAAAGGGACTAAGACGACAAGAATATGAATGAATGAATTTCAGCACCCTGGGTTGCCTTGGTGGAAACAACGTATTTCATTCATTCAGTCAGGAAGACTCTCAAAGCATGCATCCGTTGTAAATATTACGTTACCATTCCAAGAAGTGTGCAAACTGAGGGACATTTAAACACAAGGATAATTAGTTTAAATAGCAAGCAGGTATGTGTTGCTTAATGAACAGTCATAGCAACTGAGGATCAAACAAAAACACACAACAAAGGAAACAGGAAACATTGAGGAAACTAATTTGAAGAAAAAGAATATATTCAAGAGAATCAATAAATTAATGTTATTCTAAATGTGCTACTGTCTTTTAAATCAACCAATTGTTAACCATTAAATAAAAAATACAACATTATTACTTATATTAATGCACGTTAGAATAGCTGTTGTTTAAATGTTCACAATTTACCTGAAACTGAATGGTGTAATGAATTAAATATTATATTTATATTTTAAAAAGTTGAAAAATTAGATATTTACTGTTTATATATTTAAAATAGTTTTTTTAATACATGGAATGGGATGTCTCTGAATTTTATTTATAGCACTATCAATACAAATAAATTGTCTAAAAAACAATGAAGGAAAATGCATTTGGATAATATTGTTATCAGGCATACACTAAAATATCCGTAGATTAGCAGATTTACATATTTTGTGATTCCCACTTTATTTTCCCCCATTTATTTATGTTTTTGAGTTGCATTATAGGACCTTGATCTTTCTTCAAACAACTATTAACCTTGAAAAATAAAAATAAAAATCGACTTTTATGAACATTTTAGTTTAAAGTGATATATTATCTGTGTTAGTGTTGTATGTTACAGTACAACAACCTTTAATAAACATAGACAAAATCTTTCTGATAGCATTGCTGGCTTTGAAAACAGCTGGAAACCCTTTTTTAATTATCTGTCAAATGTCAAGGATAACAGTTTAAAGGTATGACCCTGTCATTGTTTGCAAGATCACCACATTGCCTGTGCCCACTGTCCTAGAAATATACAGTTTATTTTAATTTTTTCCCCAATTTCTGTTTAACAGAGAGAAGATGTTTTTCAACACATTTTTTAAACATAATAGTTTTAATAACTCATCTCTAATAACTGATTTATTTTATCTTTGCCATGATGACAGTAAATAATATTTGACTAAATGTTTTTCAACACACTTCTAACACAGCTTAAAGTGACATTTAAAGGCTTAACTAGGTTAATTAGGTTAGGCAGGTTAGGGTAATTAGGCTAGTTTTTGTATAATGATGGTTTGTTCTGTAGACTATAGAAAAAAAATATATAGCTAAAAGGGTCTAATCATTTTGACCTTAAATGGCTTTTTAAAAATGTAAAACTGCTTTAATTCTGGCTGAAATAAAACAAATAAGACTTTCCTCAGAAGAAAAAATATTATCAGACATACTGTGAAAATGTCTTTGCTCTGTTAAACATTATTTGGGAAATATTAAAAGAAAATAAAAATTCAAAGGTGGGCGAATAATTCTGGCTTTAACTGTATGTGTAACATTGTTAGGCTATGTATAAATCTGAAGGAACAGATATAACGATGATGTTTTATTTTATATCTGTCATTTATCTTTTCTTTTTTTTTTGCTTTGTTTGTCTTTTCTTTTCTGTCTTTGTAGCTGTTGATGCTTTTTGTATTGCTCTGTTGCTTTAATGTCAAAATAAAAATATATAAAAAAACACTAAAATGTCAATAAAAGTCACTTTGTTAAACTGTTGAATTTTTGACATCAAAATTTAACAGAGCAGACATGAAGCTCCCATAGTGCAATGTACAACCGTAAAAATATGTAAAGGGACATTTAATCTCACATTATTAGCATTCATAATTTTCTGTTGTTCACCTGTGAGAAATAGAAGCTGTTTCAAAAATATACATTACAGGTGTTGGTTAAGACAAAAACTCATTTTAATATGGAAAATATTCCCTCTAACAGATTTTTTTTACAGTGTACAACATTTTAAAATCAGCACTGGATTTTCAGCCACAATCTGTAAAGAAAATCTCCTCACACACTCATGAGCTTATTACATAAGCTTTTAGCTGAGATTTTGCTGATGAAATGGATGGAATTCCATGGTAAACAAAAAAGGAAAACCACAAAAGGAAGAGTAATCGCCTGCCAAATTGCAGACGCTTTAAATGGAGGGTACCTCTGTCTGGATTCCTTTGGATGAGATGATGGTTTGCTCCCACCGGAAGTGGATGCGTCAGGATTTTCATCACTCCAGTCAGTCTTCTAATTACAGGCTGGTTAAACGAAAATGTATCTTAATTTTACATGTCTATAAACTTGCCATATAATTACGTCTACATGTCAGGCCTATATCAGCAAATGTAACACCTTTATATTAGAGCCAGATCCCGAGCTCTTTTTCCGGTACTTCCACCCTCGTACTCTATAGATATCTGTGTAAGCAGTCTTATATAAGAGGTTACTTCTTTATATTTGTAAAAATATATATAATACGTGAGTTAATCCTATTTGGAATAGTGAGAAGTAAAAAGCCTTCACTCACACACTTTCCTTTGGCTTATTCCCTGCTTTATCGGGGGTTGCCCATCCTGCTCAGAGAGCCATAACTGTCCTATGCAACTTCTGAAATCAGTAAGCATTCTTAAGCAATTTTTTGCTCGTGTAAATTTTTTAAAATTAATTTTCCTTCAGCTTAGTCCCTTATTCATCAGGGGTCACCACAGCGGAATGAACTGCCAACTATTCCAGCATATGTTTTACACAGCGGATGCCCTTCTGATGTTCGTCTTTGGTTAAACATGATTTGATCGCGGACACTGATTGCACATGATTACACCGCATTATCTTAACAGCTCTGAATGATGTTAAACCAGCACAAAATGTTTGTGTTCGTTTAATGTGATTTATACTTGTTCAACAAAAAACATTCATTCAAGTTAAAAATAAATATTTAAATCATGTTTACCCAAATACTTTAAGCTGGTTTAACATCGAGCAGTGTTGTTAAGATAGGTCCACGATTGAATCATGTTCTACCAAAGTCAACCCAGGCTCATCACTGATGAGTACCCAGGTCTACATTTCTGGGGACAGCGAAATACGTAAGCGGAGGTACATCTTCTCACTGTTGATGATCTTAAAGCTCTCTCGCATAAATCCACCAGAGGGCACAATATGCTGTACATTTCAGCCAACCAGGCTTGTTTGCTGTTGAACAACTGACTGACCCAACCACCCCCGTTCCTAAATCCAACCAATAGTCTAGAAAAAGAAAAGCTCTCATGTGATTTCACTACATTTACAGCCTGTTGTTTATTTATTTTATTTTGTTGCTTTTGTTTTGGGCGAGGCAGTGGCGAAGTAGGTAGTGCTAGCGCCTTACAGCAAGAAGGTCGCTGGGTCGATGGTTCAAACCTCGGCTCAGTTGGTGTTTCTGTGTGGAGTTTGCATGTTCTCCCTGCCTTCGCGTGGGTTTCCTCTGGGTGCTCCGATTTCCAAAGACATGTGGTACAGGTAAATTGGGTAGGCTAAATTGTCCGTAGTGTATGAGTGTGTGTGAATGTGTGTGTGGATGTTTCCCAGAGATCTGTTGCCGCTGAATAGGCATCTGTTGTGTAAAAAATTGCTGGATAAGTTGGTGGTTCATTCCGCTGTGGTGACCCCAGATTTATAAAGGGACTAAGCCGACAAGAAAATAAATAAATAAATGAATGCTTTTGTTTTACCTGGTTTCTGGAACCGCTCTTTGCCGGACTCGAACCCCATCATCCCGGTCAACTTTGCTCTATGTCGCAAGTCCGCCTTTTTTCCGCCTTTTTTTGTCTTTACAAAGAAACTTCTCAATATGCGTTCTTCAGTGATCTTGCATCCTTGTGTTCTCGTGTAACGTCATTATCAACTGCCAAAAATCAGTTCCAAAACTCAAGGCCGCAAGAATCGAGGACGCACCGATGCAGACTTGAGCGCAAAACTCGCTCGAGAAGTACCAGAAGTCATTGCGGCCTAATAAAGAAGGTGGGAAGAGCAGCATATATTTTATATATATTTATTATTAAAGTTCACTGTTCTCACGGTCTCCAGAGTTCGTTCTTCTGAGGTAACCTGGCAAGACGGTTCTCCACAAGACTGCAAGTCCGTTCGCTGCGTTCATGGAATAGAGAAACAGCCTGTACATCATGAACAGATTTAATTCTAGCTTTAATTCAAATCTAAGAATTAATCAATGAACATAAAGCAAGCTTGCTTAAGCATACCGTAAACATTATTCACTGATCAATATAAATATTAAAGGAATCCTTCACCCAAAAATAAACATTTACTCACTATTTACAGTACTTACCCTCAAGTGGTTTCAATCCTTGATGAGTTTCTCTATTCTATAACACTAAAGAATATTTTTTGGAGAAAGCTGAAAACTAACCATTGATATCCATAGTACGAAAAACAAACACTATGGAAATCAATGGTAAGAGGTTTCCAGCTTTCTTCAAAAAGCTTTCTTTCAAAATATCTTATTTTCTGTTTAAAAGGAAAATGACTTTAAAAAGTAATACATTACAAACTTAGGGCTAACTTAAACTATAAATCGAAAATATATCATAAGACACTACTTTGTCAAAAAGTAACTAACTAACACATCTAATTATCTTTTTTAAAAAGTGACTCTAAGATTGCACTAACATACACTAAAAAAATTTTTTAAAAGAGATTGTACTGGCAGAAAATTACAAGGACATTTTCTGCTTTTTATTTTTATTTTTTGTGGATTTTCTTTCATTTCAAAAAACAGAAAATTCTGTAAAATTTCCGTTAAAAAAATGTAGAGGTAATTGTCTGCCAGTACATTCTCCATTTTCTTCAGAATTTTTCTTCTTTAAAAAAATGGAAAATACAGTAAAATTGCAGTATATTCTCAGTACAGTATACTTTTTCCATTAACGGTTATACAGAAGCTTCAGTAAACTTTAAATAGAAGCTTAAACTTGTAAAAACACCACCTATAAAATTTTGCTAATGTACATTAACATATCATTACAAGGCCAATAGCTTTCTAAACATGGTAAAACAAAAGAAGCACAATGTACACAAAAAAATAATAATTTTTTACATTGCATTCAGTAGTATAATACAAAAAAAGAAAACTATTAGCACTAAAATTTAAACACTTAACATAAATAAATGTTGAAGGAAAAGTTAATCTGTGCGTTACTTCACTTGTGTCATTTTTCTGTAGCACTTTTTAAGTGAGTATTGTTCTAAGTCCAAATGTTGATGAATACTTTGGTGTTAGAGTGTTATTCTTGTTATAGTCTACATGCAAACGCTGGTGGCCCTCCCTCACAGCCCTAAAACACCGTTTGTCATTTCCTCAAAGATTATTATCTATTATACTGTCAATCTACCCATTTACAAATCAGATTTTTAAGGGAGCACTGCAATTTTAAACGGGAACGGAGGAAGGCAGCATGCGTGGGCAACATCAGGACGATGCATCATTAAGGTTATTGCCTTTTATTATTCTCCGACTTCAGATCAAAGGCTAGGCACACGGTCAAGACTCCCTGATTGAAGACTCCAAAGCTGCTATCCAACATACATGCATCTATACGGAAAACCTGCACGCTGCAAATTCAAGAACAATGCCGTGGCAAGTCTTTGTCTTTGTGTAAACATCGTCCAATTACTTTAACTGTCTTTAATAGGGTGCTGTGGCTTTGAACAAACTATAAGCAGGCCTTCTGGCCCAAAATAGAAGCTTGTGGAAATCCGTGGGATCGGCCCGCAGACAGCTCACTGGAGCCTGTCCTGTAATCTAATGGAGAATACCACCTACTCACCCCTGCTCAGTGACGTACATCCATTCATTTATGACATAATTCGTGGTACGGACTCATGCTACACAAACACGACTTAATGTTTATTGGCGTACTTTGGCTAAAAATATTTTTGCAGGACTGAGGAATAAGCGGGAGCTATGAGTCCTTTATGAGCGCTTGACCACAAAGAGCGAGAGTGTTTAACGAAACACAACCGGGAACGAAGATCAACATTTTTTTGTAGTGTCGTCTGAATATTTTATTTTCTTACTTTCCACAGCTAATTGGGATCAGATGGAGCTCTGAAAATGCTTCAAATTATTAAACCATTTTGGGTTTGGTTTTATATTTTAAATACTCTGCATTGTTTGTCGATGGTACTGAGATGTTTTTACATGGGCTCTGATAATTACAGTGCCCTTATGTACCATAAAAATAATATGAATTGTTATTTGTTTTGTTATTTTAGCTTAATTTATTTGAAGTTAATCAAGTTTTTAGTACATTCTCTAAGTTATACAAACTTTAAATTAATATTTTTAATTAATCTGATGTAAGTTGAGATGACTTGAAGAGTTCATTTGATTCAACAACAACAAAAAAGTAAGACAGCAAGACTTTGTTTAGTGTAGTACGTCTTTATACATGTAAAGCTGTGCTGGTATGGCTATATCGAAAACAGCAGTTGTATAACAATTGTATTTTTTTAATTAAACATAAAAGGTTTCAACTTGCATTTTCCAAAATGATACTTTTTTACTGTCTTTGTTTTTTTTTTTTACTGTTCATGGTTTTGTTTATAACAAGTGGCCCAGCTGTCATCCAGATGGGCTGCGCTGCCGTCTGTACAGAAGAGGAGAGACGACACTGACTTAACAGAGGATACTTTCAGTAGAAATCTGAATATTTTTCCTCCTGCATGAATTTCTGAACAAATTAAACTAGAAAACATTAGGTCATGACTTAAAATAAGATGTTATTGAGAAAAGTCACAGTTCAATGAGCTGACTGTTATGAGTCCACTTGTGCTGCATTTAATGGTCCAGAAAAAAAGATATTTCAGTTTTCTATTATGACAGAGATGCTCAGGCATCTTAAACACACCCTGACGGTCATGGCAGATTAAAACTGAAGGTTTTCAGGGGAAAAAAATACTACGCTTATAGTCACACCTTTTAAACATGTCAGTGGTAGTGTTCCTGAACTTTGGAACAGTATTAACTTTGAGTGTTATATAATCTAACTGGTAGGTCATGACCCAACAATGGGTCACAAGTCTGGTCTAATATGAGACAAAGGAAATAAATAATGCTGAATCCTGACAATATAATGTTACTAATCCCATTATTGTAAATGAAGTGTTTCTTACTTTTTGTAGTTCATGGCAAAGGCAAGATGTGTAATCAAACAACTCTATTTTGTGGTCAGAAATGAGAACCATCAGTTGTATTATTGGGGTCAAAACTAATAAATTATTATAACATACTAAAGTTTATATTTAATGTAAGATTTGAACATTTAGAAGGAACAGGTATTTTCTATCTGCTTTGACCCAGAGTTTAAAACAGTCCATTTCGATTGGCATGTAACACTCGAGATTTTGATTTAAAACGTCCACTGCTAAAACAGGCTGTGGGTAACACTTTACAATAGGGTTGTATTATTCAATGTTAGTTAATGTACTTGCTAACTTAACCAAACAAACAATGAACAATACATCTATTACAGTATTTATTCATCTTTGTTAATGTGTATTGATGGTAATAAAGTTGTTCATTGTTGGTTCATTGTTGGGCGGAGCAGCTGGCATTTCTGTGTGGAGTTCAAAAGTTCTCCCCATGTTCACGTGGGTTTATTCAATTCTTGGTGGAATTGAATAAATTGGCTGTAGAGTGTGTGTGAGTTTCCCAATACTGGGTTTGTCACATCCCCGGCTCGTTCCTGCTGCTCAGTTTACCATTCTCTCTCACCATCACATTCCCTCAGCACCAATCATGGCTTCCCATCTCCTGCCACCTCTCATCACGCCCTAGCACTTTCACCTGGGTTTTAATTAGACACACCTGCACCCATCATCAGCACTCCCCATATAACCCAGCGATTCCAGTCAGTCAGTGGCTGGGATAGATGTCTGACAGTTCACCTTACCTTTTTCCTGACTGTCCTTCTTCCATGGATGTTCCCCCTCTTTAACGAACGTTTAACCTGTGGATGTTTCTCTCAAACCTGTGGATGAACAAAGCTATCATTAGGGGGAGTGACTTTACACTCCATGTCTGCTTGAAGCTATCTGTTTACAACGTAAATAACTATTCATTAGCTCTACTGCAAAGACTCTCACTTACCTGCTTCTCCAGGTTTTAATGCATTACTAGTTTGAATAAATTGATGAAAAGAGATAACCCTCCTTGTCCTCATTATGTGACCGTGACCGGGTTGCAGCTGGCTGGGCATCTGCTGCGTAAATTCCTTTAATAGTTGGTGGTTCATTCCGCTGTGGTGACCTCTAAAATCGACTAAGACGAAGGAAAACAAATGAATGATAATGCAGCAGCTAAGCTTATGGTAAATGCAAATGTAAGACATTATAGTTCTTAAATAGGAATTTCATTCAATGCAATTTAATTTGAATAATATAAGTATTCAGTTTTGACGCAAGTACATAATTAAAGACACATAATATAAATTGGGAACAAGTGTGATTGCTATTCAACCAACAACTCAGCCTTAGACTAGTGGTGAATCACTAATTTTAATACACAAACTACAAACTAACTATGATTAATAAATACTGTTAAAGTATTGTTCATTCGTAGATTGCGTTAGTAAATACATGAACAAACATCAACTAATAAAACCTAAGCGTAAATTGGGACCTAATTATGCATAACCTATAAGCTGGACACTGCTGCGATGTACATCAAGAACAATATGGTTCAGTAGTTGCAGTCCAGGTTCATTGGAGCCTACACTTCTGCAAAACCTGAACTATTTGATTGCACTTTTCAGATGACACATCTACAAGAAGCCATTGTTTGCTAAAAGTATAATGGCAGAGAAATGAAAGCAGTAGTGCCAAAAGGTTAAGGCTAAATGTGTTTGGAAATAGAGTTCCCGCTCTGAGCCTAACCAACAGTGTTAAAACCACTGATCTATAATAGAGATTAGACATCTTATAAAGAACAGCGGTTAAAACACACATGCTGATGCACACTGTTATAGCTCAGCTTTGAGCTCTTTTGTTGGACCCTGTTTCACCAGCCTCGTGAGTGCTCTAAATCAGGAGTCCAATACTGTACCAGATGAGCTGCTGAGCAAACTAGCTACATCAGACATGTTGTACATATGAAGATACGTTATGCATATATCATTTTAAACATCAATATAATGTTTAGAGGCCTACACACATAGTGTAAAAAAACATACATTTTTGCTGAATTAAATCATTCTGGTTGATAAATCTAAAAGTAGCATTTACATAAACCCTAAATAATCTGATCAGGCTTATGTGAGTTTTTGAGTGGCACTAAATAACGAATTCCATGCTGATTACATAAACTTTTTTTGCTTGTTCAAACTGCTTATTTAAAATGAGCTGAAACAACACAATTCTTGAGATTTCATTGGGACAACTTAATTTTTTACATTTTTACATTCAATCCAACTAAATTTGTTAAAAGCGTTAAGTTAACTTAATTTGTGTTGGAACAACATGAATGAATTGTGTGGAACCCTGCATTTTTTACAGTGTGGAATTTATACTTTGATGTCTGAAATGAAGGTTAAAAAAATCAGTAAATACAATTAAATATTACAAGAGTTCTAATACAAACCAACAAAGTTTTGTGTAGTTTTGTGGCTTTAATTGTCAGAAACAAAAGCTGATGCTTCCCATATTCTTTTGTTTTTCCCATTTTCGCCTATATTTTTAAGCTTGTTTCATATTATTAGTGAAAATAAAAATTCTGTGGGGGAAAAAAGTATATACTGTACAAATGCTTTCTGCTCAAAGAACATTAATAATAATGTTCATAATAAAAATAATAATCTTTATTTTTATACAGTGCCTTTAAAAATACCATCTCAAGGCACCTTACAGATATAAAATGTGCAGCAGTAAAAGATACAAGGATGAATGAGAACAAAACACATAAAATATTAATAGTAATAGATCTAAAAAGATCATATAGAAGTCGAATCAAATCAAATAAAACCTACTCTAAAAAGCACATTTCAAGAGATAAAAGGAGTTTTAAGAGAAAAAAGACAAGAGTTTAGCAAATTTAGGTGCCAATAAAGAGAATGCCCATTAAATGCAACTGTTTTTAAGAAAAAATATGTCTTTACTTGTAATAATACTTGTGATCCAGTTGCCCAAAATGCATTGGAAATGTGTAATATTTTAAAAAATAAAGCTTATTTCAATGCAAGCTGCTTTTTTTGACTACAAAGAAAGTCAGAAACTTATGTTGTTTTTTAAATATAGAAGAACTCGCTTTAGATTTTTAGTACATTTTGCAATTTGCACTTTAAAAAACTAAAACATTTATTTATATCAGCTCAATTTGTCTTAAGGTAATTCCATTAACACTGCATCAGTCTTTTGTGTCAGACAATATTTCCAAACATCTGCTGGTGGAGACAGAAGCGTCTGTGTCAAAATTAAACATTACTAATAAGCATTTGTATATTATTTTGCCTGTGATGTGCAGACTCTTGCTTGTTTGCCGGCTCATTGTGAAATCTGATTCATCCCAGTCGGCTGAGGTCTGTCTGGACATGAAAGCATGAACCCCGCAGCCAGGTGCAGATGCAAAACAAGCCTCTGACACCTTTCCTTACACTAGTCTATTTGTCAAAAAGGCACAGACAGATGCAGTGGCATGTAATAGCTTACATCGGCCTGCTGAAATCACACAGTCTGCAAAAGCAGCCTGTTTTCGAGCGGTTTAACAAGGTCTGCAGATGAGAAGAAACATTTCAGAGGACAAACGGTCCAATACTGGCGGTAAAATGTCTCCTTTCCCTAGTTTAAATAGCGGACTATAAAAAGAGGTGTGTGTCTACTGGAAGAGACAATGCAAATTTAAATCTGAATTTGATTCTTGTGCTGTTGTCGTTGCGTTTATGAGTTGGTTTGCTTTTCCAGGGGGATACCACTGAACAGCAGTAAAATAAAGTGTTGGACCAATTTCCAAACTTGCACCAGGGTTGCGTAACAGGCGCAAGCAAGTAACCCAGTTCCTGACCACAGGCTATTATATGCAGCAGTTTTTCCCCTGAGTCTGCTGGGCTTCGCAGGTGATTTTAATCCTTCAGACCCACTTTATATTAAGTGTCTTTATACTATGTACTAGCACTTAATGTGTACCTAATGTGTATATCCATGTTTTACATTGTACTTACATTGTACATTAAAAAATTCTGGATGTATTTGAGTCAGACAAAAAAAAAAAACATTTAATAGTAAAAATGTGTCTTATTTATGCCTATTTGTAAGTATCTAAAATAAATTAATAACACATATTTTTTTAAAAAAACATAAAAATATAAGTGAATATGAACAGTTATTAAGTTTAACACATTTGTCAGTGTTAAACATTCCTTAATTACCTGAAATATAATCTCAATGGTGCAGTACACTGTAAAAAATGTTACTTAGATCTAACTTATAAAAAGTGAGGCAAGTGGCTGCATCGGACGTTTTAGGTTGATTCAACTTCCAGCCTTTTTTAAGTATTTTAAACACTAAAACATTGCTTAAAACAAATGCAATAAAATTAAGTTGAGCCAACTAATATTTCTAAAATTACTCAAATCAGATAAACTTACTTTTTTTGTTAAACTTAACTTACTTATACATTGCTATATGTTGACTGTACTCATTTTAATTAAGTATTATGAACTTAATGATCTAAATAAAATTAACCATGCATATGTCATTTAAAACTAATTTAATTGACTTCTGGCTGTAACCTCAGAAAATAAATCTTCGTTTCTATATTGTAAGCACAATATACACTAGTAAAAACAGATAAACAGACTTTCCTGTCAATAACAATTAAATAAGAATGGGAAGATGGATTAAAGACCATAACATGTATTCAATATCAATCGATGTTCCTTTTAATAGTGACTACAAAATAGGCCATTAATGTGGCTACACATACACAATACATAAATAAAAACATTAATAATACCAGATCCTATTGAGAAATCATCCAAGGCAACTCAGTGAGGAGATTTGCATATTTTGATAAAGATTTAGGATGCATAATGTCCAGTCCCACAAAGAGTCTCTAATATATCTCAAATGTATACAGTTTTGATGGATACTTGAAGTCGAGGACATCGGTAAGTCCAAACAGGAGCCATCATGCATTTGACAGGTTTGGCAAACCTCTGACAGTCCTATGATAATCCAAACTGTGTTGGGCTGATGGCAAATTTTTCCCGTGGGCAGCCGCATGCACCTCTGATTCCTCACAACTCTATTGGTAGAGACAAAAAGAAACAGGAGTTCAGGTGGTTGCTACCAAACAACATTAAATAGCTAAATACTGAATAGGAAATAACTACAAGTGAAGTTACAAAAGTCCAGTGAGAATGATGCATGGATGAAACACCTTAGTTTATCAGTTAAAAATTACCTTAGTTAAAATTTACCTAACTTCTATTTAAAAAATAAAAAAAGGTTATAGAGGTTGTGTAATTACATTATTCCAGGTGTTTTTAGTTATCAAATTTTAAAGAAAACTGTGATTTTACTCAGTGTAACAGTGCATGTCATTGTGTTTTCCTGTCAATCAAAGAATTGTTAAAATTTAGGTATTACATTTTTTGTTTATTTTGGCAACTTATAAAGCATAAGAATGTGTATTTAATTTAGATATTAAAACTGTTTGAAAATGGCTATATGAAAATTATAGAATACAAGTTCTATAATTTAAATGTCATCTTCATTTTGCACCAAACTTTGCACGTCATAATACAAATTTTATTAAATAAATAAATAAATACATTGCCATTTTACACATTACATTAAGGTTTACATTAAATTTTTGCTAAAGCTACATTTAATTGACTTTTTCTTCAAATTTAATGTCACTGGCAAATGACAGTTCAGTGATTCAGTGTTATCAGTTAGCTTTATTGAAAGACTGACAGATAATAAGAAACTGCATTAGGATATTTTTATACTGTTTTTACTGTTGCACACATAAAAAAATCTTCAGATATCAAATGTAAGTTAATTCTATGGAGCCCACTATTGTTTGCAATTTTACCAATGTTTTACTTGCCTGCAAATAATTATAGCTGTAGTTGTATCTAATGTTTTTCTTACCTGGATGTGAAGTTTGAAGATCCACAGGTAACAAAATCACTTTGGTATCTAAAGACCAAGAACATGCATTTTAGAATGAGGTGCATACAATTTAAATGGTTCTGTAAACATCAGTAGTAAATGTAATTTAAGTTAAAATAAATTGTAAATCTGTAATTTATTCACTATGCA